CATGGCAACCCACTGCCACAGGGGCTGCAGGCTACGCCGTCGCCGGCGACTCAGGGCAGCCCAGCTCCAGGTTGAACTGTTGTTCAGCATCTTAGCTGTAGAGGGCAGTGTCACTGGCCCTCATATGTGGGATCCGAACTGGGGCCCTCTGGCGTCCCAAGCCAGTTTGTAACCATCGCGCCACTTGGCTGGCCCGAGCTGTTTATTATTATAAAGCTAAACTGCTCTCTGGTGAAAACAATCCTCAGATAGCTACATGCAAAAGAGTGAAGTTGGACCCTGACCTCAGAGCGTATACAAAAATTACCCCAAAATGGACCAAAGACCTAACATCAGAAAACTCTTAAACATAAGAGTAAATCTTTGTGACCTTGAATTTGACAACGGATTCTTCACTATGACACCAAATGCATGAAAAACAACAACAAATCAACGGGACTTCATCAATGTTGAAATCTCTGGTGCTTCAAAGACCACCACAAAGAATGAAAAGAACCCACAGGATGGAAGAAAATACTTGAAAATATAAAGAACTGCTCTCTAGGCCATATAAAGAAGTTTTACAACTCAACAATAAAAAGACAAATAACCCAGTTTAAATAATGGGCAAAGGATCCGAACAGACCTTTCTCCAAAGAAGACATTCGAATGGCAGTAAGCTCATGAAAAGACGCTCACCCTCACCAGTCCTCAGGGGAAAAAAGTCAGGTCCCGGAGATGCCACCTCACTCTGAGCAGGAGCCGTTTTCTTCATCTGCGAAATAAAAAGGCAGGACTGGTTTAGAGTCATTAGGAGGTGGCATTTAAGGCATTTTCTAGCTGTCACATGTATAATTAGCAGGTCCCGCTCGTCAGATGTAGAGAGAAATCGGAATCGTGCTGCTAACCTGTTATATTGCTATATTGTTCTTTATATCCAGTATAAAGAACGGCCTTTATACTGGAGAGAGTGGCCGAGGAGGATTTGATGCCCAGCTTGGATGCCAGATCTTCAGCCAAATGTCCAGCGGAGGACCCTGACTCTAAGCCTTGGGCTATGGCTCCTAACAAGGAAAGGGACACCCCTTGACTGCCAGGACCCTTAAGATTTACAAGTGTCCCCTCCAGAGTAACATCTCCGTTGTCCGGAGCTACTGCAGGGTTTTGGAATGGTTTTGTTGGTTTCATATGGAACCAACAGCTGGTCATCCTCAGCACTCAGGCCCAGCCAGCTTCGACCTCCTACGAGGCTGCTGCTCATGCAAGCGGCATTTCATCGAGTACCTACTAGGTACTAGATCCTGACACTGTCGCAGTGACCAGACTGACAGGGTGTCCCTCTCGGAGCAAACAGAACAGACACATAGGTGGTTATAATCATTGTCTACCTGGTCAAAGCTGATAAGGAGGTAAGTAGGATGCCTAGATGAATGCAGTGATGGAGGATTATGGCCACAGGATGGGGAACGTTCTCAAGAGGTCAGGAAAGGCCCCTTGGTGGAGGTGACCTTGAACCTGAGACCTGAAGGCAGTACCAGGCAGAGGCAAAGGCAACAGGAAGTCCCTGACAAGGAGAGCGTTTGGGTGAAGGGTGATGTGCAGAGGGAAGAGGAGGAGGGGCAGACAGAGCCTGGAGCAGCTTGTCAGGGCCGGGAAGGCGGGCAGGTCAGGAGTCTGGGTTTCATTCTAATGCGATAGGAAGCCATTCACGGGTTCTGAGAGGACAGAGGCGGGACTGGCCATGGGTGTAAGGTCACTCGTCCTGCTGTGTGAATGGATCAGGCTGGTGACGGTCTGTGGACTAGCTTTTTATGATTAAAAGAGAGCAGTTCACTGCTTTTAAAAAATATTGGTTTCATTGCACAAAATTGGATGGCGTCCTACTGACTCGGTTTCCCCTGGGCATTAACCAGGGCTCCGGCCAGAGGACCGCCTCCAATAGTCGAGGGAGAGCAATTTCACGCAGGAGGGTCACACAGGTTTACAAGCCATAGGGTTAGGGGAGGCCCACAGAGGCTTAGGATGGAAGGTGAGGGAGAGAGTCCGGTGTCCAGCGAGAGTCCCTTCGGCCCTGGGTGGTAAAAGTACAACGAAGAAAGTAAAAATCACGCTGCTGCTGGAACAAGACCTGGGGTTCTGCTCATCTCATGCGCGTGCTCGTCGAGAGTCTTGGAGGAACCTTTCCCCTTTAAGGAACAGTGATTATCGTCCTCTTAAATCTCAGCATTGTCTCTGCTTCCACTTCCACTCCCAAATACGAGTTCTTTGTGGGAACAACTGAATATAGCTCGGTCACTTCCAGACATGTCTGACCTTCCTCCCAGACACCAACGAATGGAGCTCTTGTGTTTTCACGCAGGGATCCTCTCGTCTGGACCTACTTTAATGTCCTGAGCTGTAAAAAGGAGCCATTAGCATGAAGTCTGTTATTCAGGATGAGCTACATTGCTGCGGACAAGATTTGATAAACCCAAAATCAGAGCTCACGGTCAGTTACGTTAGGGAGTCCTCACGAGGTGAGGCAGAAACTGGGACTGTCACAAATAACTAGGATATAGAGTCACTGGCCCCCTTCTGGCCTCCCCTAGTACAATCCCCGCGAGCGCCAAGCACGTGCTCGCCTCTTTACAAAGAGCACGGCCATTGTCAGTAGGGGCCCAGGACCCGCTACCCTCCCATCTGATTCCACGAGAAGGCGTTGTGGTCTCAGAGAAAGAAAACGAGCTTGCACCTGGGCTTGGATGCCTGTTACCTATTAACCTGTGACCTTGGGCAAGTTTGTGAGCTTCTCTGAGACTCTTTTCTTATCTACTAAAGGGTTATTTGGGAATCAGTTGGTGAAGCATGTATCATGTCCAGCAGACACCACTAACTAGTCTGGACCCTCGTCTGTCTTCCTCACGTCCTGTGAGATACCAAGGGGATCACTTCATAAAACCAAACAAAGCCAAAGCAAGATAAAAAGAAATTTGAAAAAAAGATTTAAAATTCTGGCTTCCCAATTCCTGACGACTACACTCCAGGGACTGTGGTGACACGCAGAGTGACCTGGTTACATGGAGATTGGGGTCACAGTGTCCCACTGTGGTCTGCAGGACTGGACACCCTGTTTCTTTTGGTTGATTGTGGCCATGCTCCCTAGAATCAATTTTCCACTCATCTGACTTTGCAACGTGATTCCATTTTTGTCATATATGCTGATGAATGCCATTCAGAACACAATTCAAAATCTTGTCAAAAATCACATCCTGCATTCCTTCAAACTCAGTTAGTGAAATTTCTGGATTATCAATTTTTGGCAGAGACTCAAGTTCTCTGTAGATCTGCTCGTGCTGCGTTTCACAGCAGGAAACATTGTAAAAGATCAGGTTTGTCTAATAAGGGTTCTTTGTTTCAAAATCAGTTTGTTTGTTTCCTTAGAAATACAGTATAGTTCATTATTGGTGGATTTTCCCTAGTTATTAAAGTGAGGCTGATATTTTATATACAATGTAGACAGAACTATGACAAGAAAACAACTTATATTTAATGACAATGCAAATACATTTATAATGTGTCGTTATGTGAAAACAGCAGGCTGTAAAGCAGAAAGTAAAGAATGGGCTCCCCCTCCCTCTTCAAAAGAATGTATGTATATATTGAGGTATGAAAAAAAGACTAGAAAGGGATGCACCAAACTGGTACCAGTGGTTATCCCAGGGTGTAAAATTACAAATGACTTTTTAAAGTAATTTTCTCACTTGTAATTTAGAATTCAACAGAAAAGGAGTCTAAAATGACTATATGTCACTTGTTTAATAGAGGATAAAAAAACCTCCAAAAGCTATTTTAACTTTTAAAATCTGACTTTTAAAATGGTAAGCTGGGATGGAGAATTGTATAATGGTTTTTTATATCTAAAGAACACTTACAAATCAATAAGGTCTCAAATGCTGCAGTGGAAATACTTTCAAGGACCTGAACAAATAGTTCACAAAAGAAGAAATTTTAATGTCCAACACAGGTGTAAAAAGCTAGAGCTCATTTTTAAAAAGAAATTCAAGTGAAGGACAACACAATATCAGATTTTCATAAATTGTTTCATGCTGGTGCAGAAGAGTAAGGTGCTAAGAGGAGCTTACTGTATATTATTCACTTAGATTCAGGCACTGAGCTAAGCCTTTGAAGCTTAAGTGACTTACTTATAGGTGGTGAATATGGAGCCGTACCTGACTGACGCAAAATCCCAGACTCTTAACCATCTACTAGTTAGTCAAAGGATATGAACATTAAGTCTGAAAAATATTGTCAAATTTCTTCCCAGGAATTTACATCAGAACGAACGCTCTCACCAACTGGTGAGAGCCTATCTTCTGCAGCTAAGAAGGTGAACAACAGCTCAACCTGGAGCTGGGCTGCCATGAGCTGCCGTGAGCTGCCGTGAGCGGCCGTCCAGTGGCCGGCGACCGATTGCCTAACCCGGGAAGAGCACAATGATAATACCAACATGGGCCAGTGAAGCGGCGTCCCCCACAACTAGACTGAAGAACAAAAGGACAGCAACTTGTCTGTTCCCCTTCCCCGATTCCCCAACGCTGTTCCCCTCCCCCAATTCCCCAATAGAATCTTAAAGAAAACAATTATCGTTTTCCTCTGGGGAATGGGGAATTGGAGGTGGAGGTTAATGTTTTTTATTACAGTCTTGGAGAACCTTGTGCATGGGTACCTTCAACAGCAATACAAATTGCATTTATAAATTAACGTAGATGACGTCACTGCTCCCTGAAGGCACTTCTACAGGGAGCTGTGGTGATGCAGTCAAACATCTTGCCCTCTGGTGGTCTAACGTTATACAGAAATAGAGCTCGGGGAATCGAGGAGTAGCTGTCATATACTCTAGAGGCCATCTCACCGTATCAGGTGTCTCGGGGAGCCTTTGGGGGTGCTGGATTGAGTCAATGGGACCTTGAAACCCTGTCAAGTGCACGAACAGTCGGTGTTGTGTGGTGTATAAGAAAGGGCTTCCCGAGAGCTTAGAAGCCAGGTACATAAGCCACACCAACTGCCTCTGTGCACGCTTGCACACTTACCATGTGTGTGGGAGGAGGGGTCCGTGCATGTATGCTTTCAAATATTTTTAGAGCTATCTAGAAGCCCAGAATGTTGCTGAAGTAACACGGAAGACTCTGACCTGAAGAGTGTGGCCTCACGGAGTGCTCAGGATGTCACCCACAGAGGCGGTTCCAAGTGTGATCAGAGTCATTTCACAGCTAGTCTAATGTCGAAGGCCTTCTACTGACGGCAACGCTCTTACTGTCCATACATTTGATGCTAAGTTGCTGCTTCCTGCCCTACTAAGAAATTGGACCCGCTGCTTCCGAAGTCAGCATCCAGGGAGAGAACACTCCAGGCAATCGGCAGAAAAGCTGAGGCTTACTCAGTTCATAGAATAACCGTTTTTTTAATTCAGCTGTAAATTAAAATAACGAGGAGCCTACGATAAGTCCTAATTTTATGCTCAGTAGGAGTGAAGGTTCTTTCCCCAGATTTAAGCAAGTGTGAAGAAGAATGACTAATAGTTCACGATTTAGGGACAATTTAGTTACCGTTTATGGAGTCAAGAACTGAAAGTCTGGTTGTATTGCAAAGGTCCCCGTTATCCTCAACTTCTCATGGTGAAGTAAATCAGGACGTAAGCTAGCGTGGACCCACAGCTCTGGAAAGCTGCTTAAGCTTCTCATTAGACTGTAGGCTGAGTCCAAAAATTTGTTGAGTAAAATAGTCAGGATAATTGGCAGAAACAGCAGAGTTAATCACTTTCACCTTTTAAAGATGGGTTAGATAAGGTTTTTAAATCCATCGAAGGAAATTGTACTTACACGCCATCTTCTGTGAGAAGTGCACCAATTAATTTTTCGTCTGCCATAGGAAGTGGGCAAAGGCGATAACTGTAAGTGTAAAAGAAAGAGGAGCAGACATGAATAAGCCAATTCATCTCTGGCAGAACAAATGCCAGACTAGCCGCCACACAGCCGAGGCTCTGCTGCTTTTCTCCCTAACATTGGACAAGTCACTTATTTCCCCCATTTTTCAAATAGGATGTACTGAAGTCAAAATGAGATCATGCTCCATAAATGTACCTTACAGTACCAGGCACATGTTTACAGATGAACAAATTAAATGTCAGGAGCTGGAAAAGGGAACTCGCCCAGGTCTATTCTCTAGGAGTCCTGGCTCTTATAAAAAAAAGCTATGACAAGGGTTAGCCTTTGGGGGATTTCCAAACCTCTTGGCCTTGTGCCACCTTATTGTTGACTTTTAAAAACTTTGTGCTTATTCTTTATTTCAAAAAGGTTTTTTTTGGGGGGGGGGCGGGTATATGTAGAATTCAGCAAGTTTTACCCCAATTGGTGATGGGACAGTCTACAGACTAGAATTATGAGTGTTGAACATCAAGGCAATTTCAGCACGCAGCGATATAGGCTCCCAGGACGCTCTCAACAGTGTGTGTTCAATTACACAGGTCCTGATGACGTTCGACCCGAAAGGTGTGTCAGGTCAGCTCAGCACCTTGACGCAGGAGCTCCAGGGAGCTAAGCTTGCAAGTCCAGATGCTCTGGGCCCCGGGAACTACAGTGGGCTCTGGCAAAATACACAATTCAGCTCAACAGGCCAAGATTTTTAGACTAGTTTGTTTTTCAAACTTTCCAACAGACATTACTCAGTGAACTTGTTTGCTGAGAACAATTTACCCAAATTCCACAAAAGAGGCTACTGTAGCCTCTTTTGGGTTCGCGATGACAGCTTGTCTCCTCTGGGTTCTGTCACCAGGCAGCAAAGTCACATAATGTCCCTGTTTTCCTTGGACAGTCAGCTCTCTGTAATTATCTTCTAGACACGACAGGAAGCGTAGAACTTGTTGTTAGCTCTGATCTCCTGGAAAGTTCTAGGAAACTCAACAGGTTGTTTGTTTCTGCTAAAATATTAAGATATTCTTTCAAAAGGCTTTCCTAGAAATGTGTAGGGTTTTTAAATCAAAGTGGAGGTCTAGATTTTTACTGATACAGTTCATAAATAATTAAGAATAGCTACTCTAGGTATTTCAGATTTACTAGGTTTTTATGTTTATGGCGCTCTTTTTATATTATTAGGGGCGGGGAGGGCGGGAGGGGTGGGGAGAAAGCAGTTTTGATGATAAAAGAAGCCCATACCCATTGGAGAAACAAGAGAGAGAAAGACTAAAAATGCAGGAAAAAGACGTTTCCTTAAATTTTACCACATAGTAGCCACATTTAAACTTTTTGGTATATGATTGTCCATTTTTTTCTACATGCATTTTATATAGTGATTATATTATAATACAAATTTGTATGTAGCTTTTGGTCATTTAACAGTTTAGGAGACTTATTGTTCCATGCTACTAAAAATCTTTTAAAATCTATTTTTTCAAAAATATTTCTGATAATAAAAAAATTTGAAAACTATTTATTAATATAAGAAAAATAAAGATTATAATCTCCTAAATCCAGGGTAATCATCAAGAATACTTGGGAGTATTTCCTTCCTTTCTCTTTCCATGCATTTTCTTTTTTTCTTTTCTTTTCTTTTTAATTGGAGAATCGGGGAAGGGGACCAGACAAGTTGCTGTCCTTTTGTTCTTCAGTCTAGTTGTGGAGGACGTTGCTTCACTGGCCTATGTTGGTATTATCATTGCGCTCTTCCCCGGTGAGGCAGTTGCTCGCTGGCCATTGGACGGTAGTTCACGGTAGTGCACGGCAGCCCAGCTCCAGGTCGAGCTGCTGTTCACCATCTTAGCTGTAGAGGGCGCAGTGTCACTGGTTCTCATGTGGGATCCGAACCGGGGCCCTGCTGCTCAGAGCTGGTGTCCCAAGCCAACTCTTAACCAACGCGCCACTCGGCCGGCCCTCAGTGCAGTTTCTTTACATCACTGAAATAATACTTTTTGCAGCCTGTTGTTCTTCACTCGTGTATCTTAAGTAGCTTACCACAGGATAAGAAAACATTTTGCAAAAATTATTTTTAAGGTCTGCATAATGTTATATCACATCAGTCTATCACAATTGGCTTAACCAGTCCCCTCTGCAGCTAGGGCTTTTTTTTTCTAAGAGTTTAATTCTTTGTCTCTTGGGTGTAAGACCTTGTCTTGCTGGTCCCTATGATTTTCTCTCCTCTTTTAAGACTCAGAATCCCAGTTCCCCAGGGACCCTTTAATATTTAACTGTGCAACTGCATCATACCATAACCCACATTTATAAGCCTTTCTTCATTTCTTATGTACAAATGTATTTGTTTTGTTCGTCCACTAAACTGTGAGTCCTGAGGATAGTGACCATGTCTGGAGTAAACACTAACTGGGGAGCTGACATTCCTCAGGTGACTATTTCTGTCCCCCTTCCCTCCTCTGGCTCTAGCTGAGTGGTCTGAATGGAAGTGATCCTCTTCTTTTATGATCTTGCTTTTCTGATCACAGGATTGGTTAAGGGGTAGGCGTGGAAACCAGTCTGAGCCAATCACAACAGTCCATTCTTTAGGCTACAGGGATTGGTCCATAAAGGGACATGTGATCGAAATAGGGCCAGAATCCCATCTCAAGAACTGAGACAGAAAAGCCCGTTTCCTCTTGTATATAGGAGCTGGAACAGTAAGAGCCTGGACCTGCTGGGTGCTACCCCTCCCACCAGAAAAAAATGAACTGGAGAATGGCTGAGAGCGAACAGAGAATTCTTTGTTCACTCCTCTTCTGGCCGTTCCTAGATTTACTTATTCAACTGTTTGTTCAATCCTGATAGCTACGCCAGTATCCTTTCAACAAATCTCCCCTTTACTTTTTTCATCTGGTTTGAGTTGGGTTTCTGTCATTTGCAACCGAAGGGGCCTGATTCATATACTATTTAAACTAAAATCTGAAATCCTTATAGCATAGATCTGCAAAATGGTAACCCCTATATGTGGTATGCCATCTGTCATATCTGGCCAATTGTCTTAATAAAAGCTATAGAAAAAAATTTGTGTTGCCAAAACTCTTTAAATTCTGTCCAGGAATTCTTCCTAATGTATTGGCCTCCTACAGCCTTTTGGTTACAACCCAAAATCAATGCGATATTGAATTTATTTCGTCTTCAAATGAGGCTAATTTGAACCTCCCTAAAGTTATAGACTCTTATTTGCTGACTATCCCTTAAAAAGTGATGTGTTTATGTCACATCACGAGTATTACTGAAGGCTTGTTTTGAGCCAGGTATTGGGTTAAACATTTAGCTCATTTGCTCCTCCCAACAAACCTCTGAGGTAGGTACTATTATTATCTCTGTTTCCAAGGAGGAAAGGGAAGCACTGATAGATTAATTTGCCCCAGGCCACAGACTAGAGCTGGTGGAGCTGGAATTAACTCTTAAACTTTGTCCTGCATTATTAGGACAGCTGGAGGGAGTGTAAAAATGCAGATCCCTGGGACCTGCTGATTGAGAAACAGACCTGGCCCAGGTGAGGCCTCTCTTTAGATGTTTCACAGTTACCAGGAGATTCCGACCTCCCAGTGGCAGCCTTTACTGATCTTAAATCGTGGAGAATAGGGGTTATCACCTCAACTTCCGTCATAGAAGGAGGTTCCACCACATGTGGAGCTGACATTTAAATAACACTGACCTTACTTCCATAAATACCAAATAAATACCCTGCAGGCACCGTGTAGAGACCTGGGTCTCTGCCACCCAGCTTATTGCAAAAGAAGAGTGGGAATGCACTTGGGAACTTGGGAATGGCCTGACCAAAGAATGCCTGCTGTGCAGGCCTCCAGCATCCCTTACTCATCCACACGAGAGCATCCACCACAGATCCCTTGCCTGGCCTTTGTGAGTGTGGCTCTCTGTGGGAACGCTTTCTGCCTCTCCCCACTAACTGTCTCCCATTCGGGGCTGTGCTTACGGGGCTGTGCTTACTGCACTCTTGATGTAGCCCCTCCCCCCTCCCCCAGGCTTCTAAACCACTGTACTGAGGGGTCACTTGAGGGGACAACATGATTTAGAGGGTGGGGAGGTGTCCTCCAGAGCCAGATCCTGCTCCTGCGCCTCGCGGCTCTGGGACCGTGCTGAGCCCCTGTTCCTGTCTGGACAATAGATGCGAGAATGGAACCTCACCTCGTGTGGTGACTGCCAGGCACAAGCGAGGTGATGCTCGTCAGGTGATGGAACAGTGCACACAGCGCGCATCCAAGTGCAACTATTCACAGAACGCGAGCTCCATAAAGGGCAAGGGCGGCGTTTTGTTCGTGACCGTGTTCCTCGGTGCCTGACGTAGACCAGGTACTCAGATGTACATGGAGTGAATGAGTAACTCCCAAATGCAATGGCATTTTCCGTCCTCTCTTATCTGACCTAACGGTGACAACTGATGGAGCACATACAGCGATGACTTCACGCCAGGCATGGTTCTAAGCACTTTACACATATTAATTTATTTCATTCCCACAGCTCCCTATGAGAGAGGCACAGTGATTGTGTGCGTTTTATACAGGATGAAGGTGAAGGACAGAAACACCTAGTGATTAGAGAGAGAGCTAGGACTGGAACCCAGGCCACCCGCCTTGAGTCCACGTTTGCCACAGTCATTCCTTCCTCCTGGAGACGCTGGTCCCCTGGCGTCCGTGAAAACGCCCTCTCTGACTCCTCTTGCATTGGTCTTTTCTTCCTGCTCATCTGAGTCAGAGGAGACGCTTCCCAGAACTCTGTCCAGGCCATGTCCTCTATTTACTCTGCACACTTCCTAGTTCATGGCTTTGACTTCCACCCCCCACCCCCCCACCCCACCCCCCGGCGATTCCCGGATCCAGTCTCTGTTCCAGACAGAGGCCTAAGACCCAGACGCCTGAGTCCGGTGCTCCCTGGGCCACACTCCCGCTCCACGTGTATAAACTTCTGAATGTATTATTCTCCCCAGCACACACGCCCTCTTTCCATTTAATGCCCTATCTTAGGAGAGGGTACCGCCTCCCAGCCGTCACTGAAGCCAGGACTCTAAGAATCACCTGTAACTCGGCTCTCGCCCTGTCCCGCCACGTCCATCAGCATCCACATCTCAGTCCTCACGGCCGTCTCCTTCGTTTCGGTCTCTCACCCCGACAGGAACTTCCTATCTGGTTGCCCAGCCGCTAGCCGTCTCCCTCATGGCTGCTACGGTTACTGAAAAAAACATCTCACGACCTCACTTTCCTGATGAAAACTCTTCAGTGATCCCCCTGTCCCAGAGAAGATGAGGGGAACTCCTTGGCCTGACAGGGACGGCCCTTCATGACCTGGTCCTGCTGCCCCTCTGGTGTCATTCACCACCTTCCCTCTCCCACCTGGAAACCACTGGCTCTAGCAACTCCAGCTCCCGGCAGGTCCCCTGGAGAGCTCTGTGGTCTCAAAAGCTGCACTTTTTCAGAGTCTCTGAAATGCCAGGAGTCTCCTGGTCACTCTTCCTACCCCTTCGAAAGTCAGATCTTCAGAAAAGGACTAAATCAAATGAGTAACACAAAAGAGGCAGTCACTTAATAGATTTTAGCTCCCCTTCCACCATCCACCCTCTTTCCCTGGATAAACTGATGATTTGTTCTAGTGTGTAAACTTAACGTTTCTTTTGGTCTACTAATCAAAATGCATATACATTTATTTTAAAAATATTAACCCATTTAAAAAATAACTGCACCTTGAACAAACCTATTTACACCTTATTTGTTTGAATTTATTGTAGTCTTTATATTAAAGTAATAGGGATGGAGAAAAACCCCTAGAATTTTATACCCAAATCAAATGAATATTTCATCTGTCCATCTGATACTTGGATCCGACCCGTGTGCAGGTTCTGTTTCCTGTATCCATGGTAACGCGCCCCGTGGTGCATACCCCACCTCTTATGTCTGTAATATCCTGACGTTCCCGTTTGCTTTTGCTTCACTCGTTTCTGACTTCTCTCCCTCTCAGTCTTTCCGCTAGGGGACCAGTGACAACAGTTTGGTGTGCATGTTTCCATACCTTTCTCCTGTCTGATCAGTGATATTTGCGGGGGTGGGGGGGTGGGAAGAGAGGGCTTGGTTATTTGTTTTGCAAAAATGAGAACATACATCCCACGTGCCTTTTCCTCTTGCTGTTCTCATTTAACACACATGGCGATCTCTCCAGGCTAACACACAGCTCTCACTCGCCTTTCCAGCTGCCGGGGACCCTGACGGATGGAGCTGCACCACTCATTCACCCATTCCCGTGTCAGAGGTCACGCAGGTGGCTTCCGGTTCTTCGCCACTACACACGGGTGGCAGCAGCGACCTCAAATACACACCCTCTGGCACAGCAGCGAGTGTGTTTCTGTGGGATTTAGGCCCCCACACGGGACTTGTGCACAGAAGGTGGGTGGGAGCATGGTTTAAAAATAAATACAGCGCACGGCAGAGTGCCATACATTCAGAGAAGTTCAGGAAATGATGATAATGAGAAGAATATCTGACTATGCGGTTACCTAGCAGCCTGTGATGGGAAAGGTATGTTTCCCAGCAACTAGCAAGGGTACAAGGATTTGTAAGGAAAAGCACAAAAGGCAGAACCTGGCACGTCACTGCTGGAAGCATTTTCGCTCCTGTACTTGCGAAGCCTTCCCCGATTGGAAGAGGACCCGGATTATTGGAGGCTGAGGCCCTGACCTTGTGAGCTCCTCGAGCTGCAACACGCTTCCAACCAGCCTCAGCTTTGGCGAGGTCTGTTCTCCCCAAGTGCGTTATCTTGCAGCTGATGACTTACGAGTTAGGAAGGTGTCTATTTAGGCAGCGTGATAATAGAATAAAAGATTCTATTAGGAGTCAGAACGCTAAGTCTCGGCTGGCTGACGTGTCAGCATCGTGGCGCCTGGAGCAAGCCTCAAAACCCCCCTTTATAAAGTAAAGCTACCAGTATGCACGCTGCCTCCTCCGCAGTGCTGCAGGGAGGAACAAACGTAAATGAGGGTGCTTTGAGAGGGCTGCCGTATAGCAGCATTGTTGATGTTATTCTGACTCTTGCGTAGACAGTGTCTTGGGTTCGGGGGTACTTTCCTGTCCTCTGTCTCTCCAGGAAAGAACAAGCCACCACTTAGAAGAAGACTGACTTCATAGCAGCCACACAGTGCTGAGAAAGAACAGAATGATCAATATAAAAATAAGGCCTGGATGGCAGCTGTTGAAACTACTGGCAGACAGTGTTCAGTGGACTTCCGGAATGGGGAAGCCATGTACAAAGCTGCCTCAGTTTTTAAAGGTTCACAGATAAACGAGAAGGAAACCAAAGAGTATGATATCCCCCCTTAGGTTTCTATTTTTAACTCCTGCACAGTATCCGATGTAATATCCTGGCGTTCCTTTGCTGGTCCTGACTCCTCATAAAGTGCACACATGCGACAGGAATGCAGCCGCACGGGGTACTTCCTGGTACTCGGACTGTGAGTGAAACCTGCACAATTGGTACCTCAATGAATACACCCTAAGTAGGATGTGTGACTATGTCTGTGGTGGCCCAGCAGACACCGTAGCGGACCGGGGTGGGGGCCGCGCATCTCACAAGCGGGGCATGCTTTCACAGGACAGAATGTTGGGCTAAGGGGTTCCAGAAACCTCGGTGCCAGTTGAAATTTGGCAGTTGGTTCCTTCCGGCTGTTGTTGGAGGTAATCTCTCTGCAGGAATTTAAAAGTGGCTCACAGCGGTGGCTTCCGATTTTTGTTTCGCTGTTTCCGTTTTGATCCTTCTTCCCTTTGGGAATGGAGAGAATGAGGTGTCTCCTCAGCAGTGAGGGGTTACGAACTTCTGTACAGTTCAATCCAAATCATTACACTGTCAGTAAAACCAGCGGGGGGAAAAAGTAGTCATGTGTGAAGCATACAGTTCAAGGAATTATTATTAATGTTTTACCTTTCCACCAGTTGTGGTGGCATCAGGGAGGCAGCACGAGCGAAAGGAGGGCAGAGACTCCCTGGGGTGGTTTCGGGTCTCAGCCCTTCTCAGGGTCTTTCGATGTCATCACTCTGGGGCTTGCTGTTGATGCTTGCAAGTGTGCTTCTGCTGGCGAAAAAGGAGAAAGGACAAACTGTTGCGATTGGAGCTGCCTTCATTTAAAACCATGTTTCCGTCTAAATCCTTTTTTTCAAAAGGGAGATGTTTGTTGTCCGTCATTTCCCATTACTTTAAAGGGTTAAATATATTAAAATTTAAAATGTAGAGCAAGTAACACAGAAGTGCAGTAACTAAAAATATTAAGACATGCGCCATATTCTCACTTTACCAAGACATGGGGGCAAATGTGATTTTTAAAGAACTCTCTTCTCTTGTAGAGAAAACTAAATTTACAAAGTAGATAAATTCTGGAAGTGGTGACACGCCTTATTTTGATTTTCAAAGCATCATACAGGTTTCATGCAAACGGTTGAGTTTCTGAACATCTAGAAAGCATAGCACATATTGTTCAATATACAGGAAATTGTATTTAGTCAGGGATCGCCTCCTGCACAAAGCAAAACACTCCTCCTATCTCATAATCAGAATTAAAATTTGAGTGACCTCTCTTAATTTTACATCAAGGTAACCCAAGACAAAACAGACTTAGCAATTACTATAGGAAGGAGAACTGCTGATTAACGTATAGCTTTTTCATAAGTCAGAGAAGACATATTTGTTTCCTGAATGATCTAGAACAGGGACAATCAAGTCATCTGTAAAATGAGACCCACGTAAGCAACTGGAACTCACTGTACACTTTGTGGATCTGGACAAAGGCCACTTGAAGGATGGAATAGGGTGTTGGTCTTGAGCTCTGGGACATTACATGTACACAATGACAATACTGTCACTATACTTGAATTTTCAAAAGGTTATGACCCAAATTTTCGGTTGTTTGAAAACTCTTTGTTAATCTTCCTTATTAATCCCATGCATGTGCTGCAACAGTTTTAGTTTCTAAAATTATACAGATCGCAGTATTGAAAACTATGAGTAATCAGAGCAAATTTACCATACTATTACACAGTGTTGCTAATACGGGATGTGGGATCCATGTGAACTCTCAGTACTATCTTCTCAAGTTTTCTGTCAACCTAAAATCGTTCTTAAAAAAAAAAAAGAGCTTTATTAAAAAAGAAACTAACAAGAACAAATCTTGTTTCTGTTTATTCAACCTCCTTATTCTAGGATTGTTTCCATTGTCTGTAAGATGTAAGGAGTCAGAGTTAAAATAAGTATAAAAATATTCCTGTGATATGTTCCTTTTCAAAGGGTCATATTCACTATTTGAACCATTTCCAGATTTTAGTCGAGATCCTATTTAATATTTGGTTTATTAGTACCTAACAAGAATAGTACAATGCAGATTTTTTTGTCTCCTCTGTAAGGAAGAAACCCACAGAAAATTTTGTGCCCTCTATTATCTGAAATAAGCTTAAACCATAAGAGTTTTATTTACTTTAAAAAATTAAGATTTTAGATTTCAGAATGAGGTTTAATTTATATTTTACAATTAATTACTGTCTAAAGCTAAGAAGTAATACATACATAGCAGATTTTTGGAGCTTATATATAGGATAGAATAAATGCATGCAGTTTTACAACAGCTGATAATGTGAAATTTATCTTAGCTTGAACTGATATTTTAAATTATTTTAGAACTATTTATACTTATTACTCTAAGTTTATCCTTTTAGCTGTTTTGTACTTTAATATTTTTTAAAAACTTTACCCCTTTGAAGACTGTAACAAACATATTCTAATTGCTGCAGCCTAAAACAGTGCTTAGAAATACCAATGCTTAGTATACCAATGCTCTATTACTTTTGATGACATGATTCTGAGTTTAATTTTTTTTTTTATGACCCAGTTATCTTTCAGAGACTGGCACACGCTGATTTTTCTAATTAACATTCTATGTACCTGGGATGGGACTTTTAGTTCCTATTTCTAAAGAATTGAATCACACCAGCACTCTTAGTGATGTGCGAGTATGTTATCTTATAAATGCTCAAGGTGCCGCTTCTAATGTTGAAAAATAGGAAAATAAATTGACCTTGATGAAGTGTGTCTTCTTTTGTCTGTTCCCAGGAAAGTTTATTTCAGGTATTTCTACTGCTGAAATGATTAGCGTTAACAGCTTTTTCCCTCCGTTTTATTTTACAGGGTCTCTTCATCTTCCTGATATATGGGGTGTACAGCACAGAGGTAAGTCCGCTTGGAGTAGCTCAAGGCTGGCAGAGTGAATGAGAGAAATGACAGGTTTCTTATCTTGATAACTGAGGAACAAACTTGGCTTTTCATATGAGTGTCCTACTGCCCTTCATGCTTGGACTAGCTTATATGCATCCCAGCTTACCATTCAACACTGACAACCTGAATAAGCGGACAGCCTCATTTCTCATAGGCATTGGCTAATATTTTACCCCTGCCTTAAGTTTTTGAATTTTCAGTCTTTCTTTTAACACTTAACTGTACTTGAGAGGTTTAAAGTTTTAGTGGCAGAATGCTTACAGGCAGCTACGGGAGTTAAAAAATACTAATATTTCTTATCTCAAAATGCTCATTAAATATTGGCTTTCAAGTTTCCAAGCAGGCTGAGAGGCCCATAAGGGTTTGTTAATAATCTTTATGGTTTCAATGGTGAAATTTCTCAGGGAAGGCAGCTATTATGGAATTATGAGACATTATTTAGCTAGAAATATTGTGAGAAAGTGGACTTATGATTTCCATAAGAAGAACATGCTACGTAAATAAATTATTGTCCGTTCTTTTATGAAAAGATGTCCGTGATTTATACTCTTTGTCAGGAAAGTTGCTGGTTTAGATTTTGGCACGCTTAGTAAGAAAATGAGTGCCCTGCGTGCATTAGGCACTGACCAAAATACTCGTTTGATTTTTGCTGCTCTAACTTTGATTTTGAGATGCTGCCTGGTCATATTGCCAATTGTGCATGCGTTCCTCAGGGTTCTGTACTGGGGACTGGCAAAGGGGGTCCTAGCGGAGACCTTAGGAGGGACCGGCAGTCCATTCTTCACCAGTCACCTGAGGTGCCAGGCAGCAGTGCAACCTGGCCCACGGGCTCATCAGCCAGACCGCGGAGGTGTGGGCATTTAAACACCACCTGATGATGATGAACGCGCGTGTGGGCGTGTTTTACAGGGCTGCCGCACCTGGATGACAGCTTTCCTTTTCCAGTAGCCTTCAGGTAGGTTGGCAGCCAGACAAAAATTTTTTTTTTCTTCCTTGCAACGGTACTTGTATTGCGGTTTCCAAATAGGCTCCTCCTGTAAAAACAAAGCATGTGGGCCCATTATGGAAGTGTTGCCGCACGGAAAGAGAGAGAGAACAGAAGCAATGTGTTTTACTAAATGCTGGGCATTTGCAGTTGAAGGTTTCTGGGTGGAATCAAAAGTGCCCTACGGGAGGCACTTGTGGGTCTGGATCTCGAGGCAAATCGTCAAGCGGAGGGAGCCCCACCATGCAGGCCTCAGTTTCCCCCCCAGGCCTCCAGCCCCCTCCCGCAGAACTTCCCGCCGCCGCGGGTCCACCTCCAGCGCGCCTCGGCAGCGGAGGCCCTCGCCGCGTCCAGCTCCTTCACGGGGGCCCGCCAATCACGCCTGGCCGCTGCGGAAGCCTGGATTTTGAGGGGCCCCGAGGCCCCGCCCCTCCAGCCCAGCCCCGCCCCTCCGCCCAACCGCCCCGGTGATTGACAGGCGAGCCGGGCGGAAGCTGCGGCGCCTGCGCGCTGGCCGCGCAGCGCTCCCCTCGGGCCGGGCCGGAGAGTTCCCAGCAGGCCCCGCGCCGCGCCTGCGCAGTGCGGGGGAGGCTTTTAATTCCATTGTGGAGAGGACGGCGTTATTTTTATTAACTGGAGGCGGCGGCGGCGGCGGCGGGACCGTAAGTGCTGCGCGGGGGCGG